GATCCTACATCTGTATGGCGATTTATCGTGCCAACTGCCTTTAACAGTAAGGCCTAAGTGACATTGAGTTAACGTAGACGCGTACGGTATGTCTATAAGTGCGTAGGAAATGCTGGCTAACTTAAGTGCGCCGTGGAAACGTGAATCTCCTGACCTATAAACTTCCCACATTGGACACACAGTCATGATGCCTGCGACTGGGCGTGTGACGGGGCATGGATTGGAGAGCTGCCAAGACGCCCTCTTCTTACAGTGCCTCTCTGGGTCCGCAGCAAGAGGTTGGGAAGGCTGCTCTGGCTGCGCTTCAACTCACGCCCTTCACACCCCCTATCGCTTGCAGGGATCATGACCATACATCGACTCTACATATCTTCCGAGTCAACTCGCACTGTTGGTTACGATTGTAGTGGCTTACTTACCTGGAGGCGCTAGTCCATTGGACACAACGCGTTCATAGTGGTACGGATTGATGCAGATGAAGTCCTGATGTTCGGCCGGTATGGTGCACATCGATAGTTTCTAAACTTCAAATTTATGCATCGTAGAGGGGAGAAAAGATGAAACTATTGTAGACCTTTATTTCCTATTTACATAGAATGTCAAGTAGAGTGGCCCAGAGGTAGGAGTTTTAGTGAAAATACAAAATAACTGTATCGAGCAATGATAGGGACAGAAAAGGATTGTAATATTGCGTCACAGTAGAAAGAACACTTAACGGTGGTAGACGACACCCACTGGACGGACTTCAGAATATGGGAACCGATATCACCCTGCACTCGCGGAAACCACATCCAATTAAATTTGATGGTAAAAACAGAGCTAGTAGACCTACCACAAGCTCATTTTTGCTAACATTGGGCCACCGCCATATTCGTGCATAAACGACGTGAGGTACACCTTTTCGACCAGCCACCTGCAGACGACCATCCAGTGAGCGCTGAAACAAGCTTCAACGTTTCACACTTTTGTGCGCGACCTACAAGGTTTCACACTTTGTGTGCGCGACCTACTAGCAAGATACCGCTTACATCCAGTTGTTTTGAGCATTAAGCAAAATCGTGGCATTTGACAAATATGTTCGCGAGTGAAACGGGATGAGACGCGTGCGGTCGCGGCGCGTTATGCTGTGAATGCTGCGCTATGACGCGCTCGAACAACTGGTTGTGAATAGTAGCAAAAAGCTAAATAGTATCACCTGTATAGTCACACAAGTTGTAGGTTGTTTTCCGGCGGAGGTGATCGCTGTTATCAACGCGTCCAGCTCGACGCGTTTTTCCTTGAGCTTTTTGACAAGACTTTCGATGGCTTTCCGCACGAATTCCGCATCTTCTCCACCCTTTAAAAAATATTGGAGTTACAGTAAGCGACAAACCGCTGGTCAAATACCTGTTGGTAGCACTGGAGCACATGCGAAATTTGCTGACAAGAGTCGACTGCCGATGCACCGAACGGCTGTCCACTACTGGTGCTACTACTTGGAGCAATTCCACTTCCGCTGTTGCTTGCACTCACTGCGGAAGAGGGGAATGCGAACGGCGGTGGTTGTGGAATGGAAGGAGTAGACGCAGGAAGAGCGAAACTTTGCATCATCGTCGACTGCATCGGTATGCATTGAGTGACGGATGTCGGTGCAACCAATCGGCGATCGTCGAACGGTGGTATTGACATTACTGATGGCGGTACCGGAGGCTGGAACAAATGACTTCGAAGGACTAGGAGATGCTAGTGGTCTTTGTAGCGCTGCTCAGATAATACAAAGTGCCACACTTGCT